AGACACAATGGAGGACTATGAAATGTTTCCAAAGTATTTGTAAATGTACATGTACTGCACCAGACATGAAGTACCTATAGGACTAAATTGTATATTCCAGACCCTTGCCCAGCTGATGCTCTCTCAGAAACTGCAACTTGTCACCTTAAACTTCTTACTTCAGGAATACTGAAACTGTAACATTAATTCGGAATGGGTTACCCCCATCCCTCACCCCAAGGCAAAAATATGGTTAAGACTAGGTGGGGGGGGGGGGGGGGGGGATATGGACTTAATCTGTTTTAAAGTTGTAAATATGCATAATTATATGAAGGCCAGCATACAAATTAATTGTCCAAGTATGAGCTAAGGCAATGGCAACCTATCCTTTATTTAATACCCTAAAATGCTAGGGAAGTTTTGCTAAAATGAATCTTTAACTCCCTCAGATTTGCAGTTGTACCCACCAGCTGATACATGGATGTAAACTACAGGTGACTCTCGATGGCTCGAACTCCGATCTCTCGAAGTTCTCGATCTCTCGAAGTGAACCTCCGGTCCCGTTTTTTTCTTCTATATAAGTAAGCAAATTTACTTCCTATCTCTCGAACTTCCGATCTCTCGAAGTTCTCTATCTCTCGAACCAAGACCTGGGTCCCGTTACACACATTTCATTGTTTTTTACTCGCTATCTCTCGAAGTTTTGATTGCGCGTGTGCACACGCCGATCAAGCGTAAAATTAATGCAGCTTAGACTTACTTTGATAACAGTGTACGCCTCGGGCTGGCATGGAGGTGTTAATTGGATGTTTACATAGATGACACTATACCTGTGAGCATCCGAGTGTTGATATAATTAATTGGTTACAATTGATATACTATAAACGAATTGATTCACAACTTATTTTGACTCAACAGCGAGACGATAATTTTTAGAAAATAATTTAAGAGACGTGTTAATAATTTTTCATAGATTATGAAGTTTTATATTTAGTTTACATAATCCCAGTATGACAAACACTGCACAAGAAATCCTATCTGAAGAATTGAATACCCATTTAATACGAGAAATCTGGTGAAGGACCCGATGAAGCCCTGGGGGCACAGGTACTTGGGTCTTGGTTTATAAATATGTATACCTATTGATATGTAAAAAAAGTACTTTTTACATATCAATAGGTATACATATTTATAAACCAAGACCCAAGTACCTGTGCCTGGGGGTAGCCACGCCGACGATCGCTATTCAGGTTTCATGTAATTATGAAATGAGAACAAATAAATACTGAAAATTAAAGAGATCGTTTTATTTATTCAAAATACGATCACTGTTGTTGAAATCAAGTGAATTACCTGTAAAATACGAATGAAAACGTGCAATGACATTATCGACATATACTTCCGGTATTTATAATAGTAGAACAATAATGATCGGAACTGAAAATTCCGGATTTTATTCACTTTCCGTCTCTCGAACCCCTCGATCTCTCAAACTTTTCTTGCGGTCCCTTGAACTTCGAGAGATCGAGAGTAACCTGTATATATGCATTGAAGATGCATCTGAATAACCTTTGACATTAATATATAAACATAATTATAAAAGTACATGTATGCTAACTGCTTAGTTGAGGGGTGTACACCAATGACATATATGTAATTGGCAATTGGGTTTGAACTGACATTTTTCATTGGAGAAATGCCCATTAGATATATGCATGATATGTGTCAGCAGTTTTTGTAGAATTGCTGTCTTTAACAAACCCGTCGCCTCATTTCTGAAAACTACATACAAAACATTGCAGGAAATGGATCAGATTCTATTCAATTCAGGTCTGTGGAACAATATATGTCTAACCCTCTTCCCCCTTCAACCCCAAGAATTTGCATCTGCTTGCATAGCAGATTAATAGTAAATCTTGCCTTATGCTCAGTTTTTTTTTTTATGTTTTATATTTCATGATGAATAAAACCAGTTTCCCAAACATATCACCTTTTGTGAGTTTAAGAACCGTGAATTAAAATTTGAACTAAAGCAATTTTTACCTGAGTTAAATTTCAAATCTTTTTATTTTATTTTTCCCACTTAGAGACACAACAGAAACCATCAAGGACCAAAAATTATGCCCCAATTTTACATAATGTTTTATTATAGCCTTTTCCCCCCAAACTGCTTGACCATTGATCAATGTTCCTTCCCAACCAAAAAAACAAAAGATTCACATCCACAGCCCTGTCCCAATATGCCAGCATTGACTGTAACAATTTAGGAACCCTATAATTTATTCATTTGTCAAAACTAAGTTACTCAAGTAAAATTGTAAAAGGTCAGGAAATTTAAGTTGCATAATCATATTTTAAGGTTAACCAACCCTCTGATAAGACAGATAACTCAATGGCTTAACTGTGCATATTTCTAATAAACTTGTCAAGTTAAAATGTCTCCTGTGACAATTTTATCCTGAAGCTCTGCTAAAATTATCTGCATTTCATTTTACCTATTTATTTATTTATTTTTTTATTTATTTACTTAGACTATTTGTATAATTGTATTTAATTTGAACCTAAAAGGCCCTTGTGTGCCTAAAAATATCAAACAAGACCAGAAGCTTTTATTACATTGAGAGAAAACTCCCATGATGAAATTAGTTCCTACATGTAAAATCAAACACTTTCCCAAGCCTAAATGAGAAATATTCTATATAATGTGAAAATAATGTAAGTTTATTTGAGTTTTTGAGGTTAACTTGAGAAGGTACAAAACTTTTACTTAACACAACTCTATAAATTTATGTATCATACCCAAGGGGCCTTAGGGGGCAGGAGAGAGAGGACAATAAACATGTTATCATTAAACCTTCAATCAATTAAAGTACAGGCTCTATTAGAGAAGTTCATGATTATGCAAGGTGGACACAGTTTTGAAAATGACCCAATAGCCCAAACCTCCTTGATTTCCTTTATAATCTTAAAACTGAACCAATGAGCAGACACAGAATATATATCTGAAACATGTCTTTGACCCCATCTTAATTAATCTGAACCCATTTGATATCCGACAAGCAAAACAGTAGCTAGCCTTGATAGAATTTTAGCTAATTATTAAAAATATGGGGAATCCTATCTACCCTAACTGGTGAACAATTGTGTTTTTAAATTGCGATGCCCTTCTATTATCGGTCTGGTGGAGGCCGAAATTGTCCTCCTTGCCAAGCCCTATAAGAGAAGTGATATCCTGATAGGTGAGGATGCTGCTGGCTCAAATTTGACTGTATTGTGGATTTGGACAATGTACAATTCGACTTAGGGTGCTCATGCCTCCATTTTAAATAGCCTGAATTGCTCATTGTAATGCTTCCATCCAACTGATATTTATGTCTCAAATATATTAAGTCATCATTCATTCATTCATTTTAACCTTCCTAGAGCTTTGCCACTACATGTGACAAAAGTAAATATGTGGAAAATTATATACACATCTACTTATGTTTTATTCATATACATATTATAATGCATTATTGTAATACGACATTGTAAAGCACAACAACTTGCTCTGCATGTATTTTACTTTACATGATTTTATATCACAATTAATTACTGCATTTGTATACAAATGTATCTTTTTCATCCCTCTTGGGGAGGGGGGGGGGGGGGGGGGGGCTTGATTGGAAATAAACCATTATTTATGTATACACTTAAAAATAAATACAGTACTTCCCTTTGTGAATTCCGCTATATAACCTTTGGATGTGCTGCAATAGATTTACTGTATTCTAATTAATTTTCAATGTGTATTTATTTACTTACTGCTTTAAAGGTACAGGGTAGCACTATCCTTGTACAATAACCTTTTTTTGTCACTAAATGTTTTCAAGTATTAAACTGATAAATATATATAACAAATCTATGTTACAGAAGCCACTGTGAGAATAATATGGATATTCCCCTAAATACTGTGGCCAAGGGACATAAGTATCTAAATATCCAGATACGTTTTTTGACCTTGAAGAAGGGTATCGAATAAATTTGAAGTTTAATAATCATCATTTTCACGATGGCTCTCTTTTTAAGATTATTCAACTAAATAACATTTTATTTATTCAAAATTTGTTGATGAAATTGGTTATTGCCATTGTTATCCCTTGTAACATGTGCCAGTACAATGGAAGAATGGGGTGGCAAATCAATCTGTTTCCATCCAATCAAATATTCGCCATCGAGCAATATAAATGTCAATAAAATAATTAATGCTACTTATTTTGCCTGAAAATTAACTTTAAAAAACATAAATTGTGATAGACTATTTCAAAATACAAAAATTAAATCAGATACTTTCATCACCCACCTTTCACTTTCATTGATGCATAGAAAAGGGGAGATAACCCGGAAACATAGTGACTAAGTACCGACACTGTATGGGTGGATAACAAAATTCCGACTTTTCTCAATATCAGTTTCTCGCAAAATAAGAGGCGAATGATGACATTAATAAAAGAGGAGAGCTTTGATAACGACGCATATTGTGAGACGAGCTCAAATATGCGGTATTATATTTAATCTTTTATGACAGGTATCTGTAGATGCATACTGGTAACTTTCATTTTCATTTTGGATGCTGAAGATTAACTTTATTTTCAAGATGAATAGATGTTCAAGTTTGTAGGCTTAAGGGGGTCATTAACAAGGGAGGGAGACAGACTACCCAGAGTGAACCATGTGTCTGATTGAGCAACCACCACACTCATTCTCATTTGACTCTTCTTTATCAGTGGATCAAACCTATAGGCCATATTTTATACAGAGATCACTCAAATCATCTTACTGATCAATCATTCAGTACTAAACCTTTTCCTCATTGACAGATGATCTCATTAAAGTGTATAGTCTTCTTCCAGACTATTGGATAGGGATATGTAATATGTATATGTTTATTTTGTTACAGTTTGAGGGTAAAAAGATATGTATATGTTTATTTTGTTACAGTTTGAGGGTAAACAGATATGTATATGTTTATTTTGTTACAGTTTGAGGGTAAACAGATGTTTTCTTGTCCTGTGATTATTGTGGAAGCTCTAGAGAATGTCACTAACTTTGTTAGTATTCTAAAAAGGTAAAAATAAAATGCTTGAGTTTACATGCACTTTACTGACAAATATCTCATAAATCTGTTTTTGCCACCATTTGTAAATTGCAAAAAATTGAAATGGAAAAAAAGTGATTGCAAAATCATAGGCTGCAGTACCCATAAAATGTCATGTACAGTCAGTGTAAGGACAAAATTTTTCACCCTGTTAGTATACACAATAAACTTAATAATTTTTTTTAGTAAAATCAAGATAAAGGCCAAGGTGTACCAAGCCCCGAAATCATCAGTAAGTGTTCTTATATACTTGTATATTCTTACTTGTGTAAAAGTGTTAGGACTAGGTATTGTCATGCTAATGTTCTGCTACAATTAACATAAAGTTTACTGCTTCTCATTTTTTTTTCAAAGTCTACTGAGTGAATAAAAGTGTTGACCATGTTTTCGTAATATGAACAATTTGAACTTGATATTGTTAAAAAAAAAACTATATAAAAAGTTTGTGCACTACGTACATTGTATCCATTGTATAGTGTCCTGTAAGCATCTTGTCAAATTAGATATTGAAATATTATCCCTGGGTTTTAGTGAGACAGTGAAAGAGTTGGTACTTGGAGGCATGTGAATTTCTGCAAGAATAACAAGGCTTCCATTTGTAAACGTGACCTCAAGCCTCTCAATGTATCATATACTAAAATTATTGGTATTTATTTGTTAATCAGGTGAGCATTGTGGCTCATGGGTCTCTTGCTTTACATATTCAAGCTTGAATGTGTGTTTCCCACTACTACCAGGCCTTAATTAACTGCTAGAATTACAATCTCATCAGAGATTTTTGATTTTTTTTTTCTAAGTTTCCAACACTCACCTTGTGGGCCTCATGTGGCAGACCAACCAATGGCCACAGTTACCATGAATGGGATGGAGTCATTTGTATGGGAACTGAAGAAGAGATAAGTGGAAAGGTCAGATACTTATACTAATTAATGACATTTTCATGTTGATTCTCATACTAATTAAAGAACCCTCTATACATTGCACCCTAAAGAGTTATAATTCCATGGTATTTTTATTAAGTTAAAGTGATCCGCCCTTGGATCTGTAATGGTTTGGGCTGTATGAACTGTGGACATCAGCCTGGGTGTCTCAGTGGTCAGAGCACCTGTCTAATCATGCAGGGGTGCTGGGTTCAATTCCCTTTTCACTCATGAATTTTCTCCTTTCCTGTTACATTTAGTGCCATTGACTACCTCTGGACTTGCAGGTGAATGTCCTATCAGGAGCCAAAGCATCTGGGTTGTGTGTCTTTGGGGACAATTTAAGGAGGGAGGAATGTAGTGGTTTGGGCTATATGAACTATGGATATCGACCTGGGTAACTCAGTGGTTAGAGCACCTGACTAGTGATGCAGGGGTGCTGGGTTTGATTCCCACTCCAGCCATAATTTTTCTCCTTTCCTGTTAAGATCTGAAAATAAATGTGTATTACTCAATTTGAAATCAATTCAAGCATTCTTAACATTTCGGTAGATTTCAGTTAGATGATTTTATTGAACACTTCATTTCATATACTTGTCAAATTTAAGTTAGGATCGAGCAGTGATTTCTCAACATGTGCAATTGTCTGAGAACATTTTTTCTGTGGTACAAGTGCAAATGGTTGCCACCCATTATTGAGAATAACTTCTCAGCAATGGTATAATTAGTATAAAAACAATGGCCCAACAATTAAAATAAATTTTATAGTGACCTGGTCTTATATCTACTATTTCCTAATTATTTCCATGAAGGAAAAACCTGGTCCTTCTTTTGAATAGACTTGAATACCCTTCATTTTAGGTTAAAATGGTCACATAAATATGAAAAGCTAACAGAGCTTACAGTTGAGCATCTGTCAGAACATCTTTTGTCAGCTTTTAACTCAGGTATTCTAAAAATAAACTTTGTTAATGCTCAAAATATTAATCACTCTTCTTGATAATTTCAGGCAGAACCTATAAGCTTTTGGAATTTTTTCTACTCTGGAACATTTTTGATATTGATGTTACTGGCTATCAAGTCAAGAAGAAGATTGCAAGATGAATGGGGAGAAGATAATGAGATTGAGGTATGTTTCATGAATGAAATTTGTGAAGACTAAATGAACAGTGATCAATTTCCTGAACAGGACAAAAAAAAACATGGACCTGTGGAAACACTAGAGTCAAGATCAGATGCCTTGGAGGAGTAAGCATCCCTTGTTGACCAGTCACACCTGCCATGAGCTCTCTATATTGATCAGATAACCAGAGTAATCTGTACAGAGTAATTAGTATAAAAACATTGGCCTAACAATTGGTATGAAACTATCAGATAAAATACAACACAAGGATAGATTTTATTTTCAAACAAGGTCATTATAAGTGCCATGGAATTGGGGAAATACTGTTCAACAGGATTGTTGAAAGCCCTGTGCATCAACTTACTTGTCAGTAGCTTGCCTCATTAAAAAATTTATCTTGTTCTGGATTTTACTCTTGGTTAATTTATGAAGATTCTAAAAATCTAGCTGTAATCTTGCTCTTGGTTATATATCAAACAAATAAGCAATTTTTAACCAATATCTAAGCAAAATCCAGATTTAATTTTGCTACAGCTTACCTGAGCCAAAGGCTCATGTGAGCTTTTCTGACCGAAGTTTGTCTTCCATTCTTTTGTCTGTCTAGCTGTCTGTCTGTCCATCTGTGAATGTCTGTTAACTTTCCACATTTTTAACTTCTCCAAAACCACTGTGGACCAATTTCAAACAAACCTAGCATATAGTATCCTTGGGCAAAGGGATTCACATTAGTTCACATAAATGGCCACATCCTCTTGAAAGGGGAGATAATCAAGCAAATGCAAAAATTGGGTGGATGTCTTCAAAAATCTTCTTCTCAAGAACCATTGGGCCTGAAAAGATGAAACTTATATAATAGGGATGGGTATCTGCAAAAATTTCGTATTGTGATATATCACGATTTTTTCCCAAAACTATCAGGATAAATTTTGATATTTTTACACAATTTTTACTACAATTTCAATCTATTGAATTTTCATGAAATTTCTTAAAAATATGCTATAAAAACATAACTTTACTTTTTGATTTTTTATTTAATATAAAGCATGTTTGGATGCCTTTGTTTAACTGTTTTCAACATTTTTTACACTTCCTGTAATTGTCTTTCAATAGTTTGAACAAATAAATGAATAATATCCAGAATTTATAGTTATGAACCAAATACCGGTATTTTAGTCTCCGTGTCACGATACATATCATGCAATAAAAAATCGTGATATACCTGTATACCCATAAAATCTCACATCCTTATTATATAAAAGATTCCTGACATGATGTACCTAGATTCAATTCTGTTCAAATCATGGCTCCTGGAGGTAGAGTGGGACCACAATAGAAGATCGTAGTTTTAAATAGGAATGTGTAGGGAAAGTTTTTAAAAATCTTCTTCTCAAGAACAGCTTGGCCATGATAAGTGATATTACAATGCAGGCATCTTTAGGTAGTGTAGATTCAAGTTTTTAAAAATCATGGCCACAGAAGGTTGGAAGGGGCCACAATAGAAGATCAAAGTTTAAAGTTACATAATGAGTCAAAGTCATGTGTTTCTTTTAAGATAATTGTATCATAAAACAAAAGATTTATGTGAAATATGACTAAAGAAAAGTTTTGACAACTGAACTGCACTGTAAAGCAAGAAAAGAACTGCAAAATGTAAATGCCGGAAAAACAGAGGTTATATCTACCGCTTTGTTGTTATCGTCAATGTCAACAATGTCAAGGACATGCGACTTTTATTTTTAGTGTGAAACTTGTAAACAACATTGAATTGGAGCAAACAGAAGTGAGGAATAAGTTCTGGTCATCTTTATTGAAGATTGTATCAAAATCCTTGGTCATCCGATATTTATATCTATGGAATTCTTCAACTTTTCTGTGCATGGGTACAATAAAGAGGAAGAAGTGAAGCAATATTTTTGTGTTGGGGCAAACAAAAATTATTTTTACTTTTATTTTTCACCAAAAAAGTAGATTTTTAAGGTTCTAAAACCTGCAATTTTCTGAAACCTAATATCTTCAAGAATTGAACAAAATTTGCATGTGTCATCCAAAAATTCTATTTTTGTCAGTTTTCCCCTTTTTTCCATCACAGTGTCACTTTGACATTGGACGTATAAAAATGTTCTTTAAAATTCTTCTTCTCAGGAACATCAGGACCATGATTAATATTAATATGCAAGCATCCTCAGGTAGTGTAAATTCAATTTGTTCAAATCATGGCCTCCGGGGTTTCAAGTTTCAATGGGGCCACAGTAAAAAAATCAATGTTTTACATGGGAAAATTTAAGAGAAAATCTTGAAAATCTTCTCCTCAGGAACAGAAGGGCCTCAGTTAGTGTTAAAAATATGCAAGGATTGTCAGGTAGTGTAGATTCAAATATTTCAACTCATGGCCTCTAGGGGTAGGAGGAGCATAATAAGGGATCAAAGTTTTACATGAAAATATAAAGGAAAAATCTTCTTGTAAAGAAATAGGAAGGCTTTAATTAGTCATATAAATACGCAAAAATTGTGGGGGTAGGATGGGGCCACTATAAACAGTAAAACAGCAGGGCCAAGGTGAGCATGTATACCCAGTTTCTAAACATACCCAACTTTGATTTTGTTCTTTGTGTAATCTAATACATGTACATGTATTACCTTTCAGTCAGCTTTAAGGGATTTGACTTTCAAGGCCCTATCTTCTATGAAGACAAAAAAAGTCAAGAAAAATCAAGTCAGTCCTCATGATTTGTGTGCTATTTGTTTGGAGTTGTTCAACAAAAAACAGGTGTGTTCACTGCTATATATACTCTACAGACATTTATGGAAATCATTCTTGTATGAAATGTTATCAGACACATATTGTCATATACTGGATTCTCAACTTTTCAGAAATTGAGAGTGCTTCCATGCTCCCATGAGTTTCACACAAAGTGTGTAGATCCATGGCTAGTAAAAAATAGAACCTGTCCACTCTGTAAATTCAACATAGTCAGTAAGTAAGATTCCTTTTCATTGAGTAAATAGAGTAAGATCACAATTCTACAGCTAATATTATACTGTAGACGTACTTATTTTAGCAATAACCATTTTTTCAGCACCTTTTGCACTACTTATTCTCTGCTAATTCATGTACGTGTTAATATGATTACCAGGTTACTAAAACCAGTACTTGATGTTTTAAAGACTAAAGTGGGCTAATGTATGAATGTGTTAATAGATTGCACTAAATTTTGATTGTGCTAATTATGTACTTTTACAATAAATGCCAGCAGGTGCTTATTTCATTGCTGCATAAGTAGTTCATTCTTTATATAACTGATGAAGATAGTTTTTCAAATGCTTTTCTCCTATAATCAATCTTTCGCCAAAGGTTTCTGATTCCCTTTCTCTCTTCACAAACCTTATGAGGAGAGTAGCAGATCAGAAACCCTCGGCTAGCGAAGATGCCTATAATCATGCTTATCTCTTGCATATTTTAAAAACATGAAATTCAATTTGTGTGAGTTGTTAACCAGCGTTTACTACAGTACCAGTATTTACAATTGATGAACATTGGTTAAGAAAAAATCCAAATTGTTTTTTTCCCTGAAGTATTGCATAATTTAAACACAAGGCAATTTAAAAAAGAATATCCTACCAAAAAAATATTAATATTGAACTTTCACAGATAAGCTCATGTATTTTATTAATTACTGGCACCTTTTAGTATGTTTTATGGTATTTTGTTTATGTATACACATTATTAAAAATGTTATACCATTTTCTTTTCAGATGAAATGACCAAAGAAAACAGTATATGAGGAGATATTTTAAGATAAATATTTATCATGTTGCTTTTAACTAAAATGGGTGCTACTGTAATTTTGATTTGCAGTTACATGTAGCATGCAAGAGTATTGATTATATAAAATTCTTTGTTTAATTGGTATTAAAAATTTATAAGAGAATGTTTACTCAAATTTAGCAATATTGAAGATCTGTGATTTTTATGGGGTTTATATTTAGGCAGTGATCTACCACACATTATACAGTGCCAACAATTCTTAAATATCAATGAAATATATGGAGATAATGAACAGTATTCAATCTCAAAAGTCCATTAAACAATACGAAATAGGAGCAGAGCTAACACGGACCTCCAAAACATCAGAGGTGGGATTAGGTGCCATGGAGGAGTGAGCATCCCCTGCCAACCGGTCACACCCGCTGTGTGCTCCTTGTCATGATCTGGAAATAACGGAAAAATCCATTGACAAATCAGTGTGTAAATAATGGCTTAACAATTAGTATGAAAAAAGTCAGTCAGCATTTGACTCAATGATAAATTGTATTTGCTGAGTGCTGACAAGGTCATTGTATCGACCATAGAACTAACGCAATGATGACTTTAAATGGGACAGCTGATATTCTTGTTTCATCAACTTGTTTGTCAATAATTTACCTTGTTTTAGAAATTGTACTTACATAGAGCATGCTCTTGCGTATCGAATCAACTGAGAGATATATACCCCGTATGCAGGTGATGAAAGTATATTGTTGCATAAGTAAGGGAAGTTGACGATTGGAAAGTAAAAGTCATCACGTTTATCATAAAGCTTGGTTTTTAGATTACCATTAACGTCTTTTTCAAGTAAAATATCCAAATATGAAACAGATGTGTCAGACTCTGTGGTATCTTTTCCAGGATATATCATATCGACATAAGAATGGAAATAACCATTGTTAATCGACAATACGTCATCGATATATCTAAATGTCGAGTTGAAGGCCAGAGCAAGTGTTTTCTTCTTTTCATATATAAGATTTTGGACAAATTCTGCTTGATATGAATACAAAAAAAGGTCTGCTATTAATGGGGCGCAATTGGTTCCCATGGGAATTCCAGTAGATTGTTGGAAGACCTGGTCTCCAAAAACCACAAAGATATTGTCAATCAGAAATTCAAGCATCTTTTTAATGTCAACTTCAGAGTACTTGTGTGTGCAATCAGAATGTTTTTTAACAGAATAATTTTGCAAATGACCAATGACAAGGTAAGAAAATATAAATCAGATCTGTACACATTCAGCATTTGTACTCGAAGATCAAGTGATTACAGTAAAATGTGGTTATAACGAACATGCTTATAATGAATTCATGCTTACAGCAAATGATTTTCAATTCCTGTAGTTTTAAAATGTTATATAAGATTGAAAGAATTATGGATTACTTTTGTAATGAATTAAAATTGTTCACTCCTGACACTTTGCTATAAGTGTTGTTTTAAGATTGGGGTTTCAGCATAAATCCCCCACAAGTGCTCCATATCTGGCATTTCTTACTGAAATGTGCTTTCATTTATGACTAATTCAACAATAGCTTGGATAACTGTAAAACGATATTGAACTTGTGAAAAGGATGAAGTGAAATGACTTTTGATGAAGAATATCTCACTCACTCTCTCTCTCTCTCTCTCTCTCTCTCTCTCTCTCTCTGTGTGTGTGTGTGTGTGTGTGTGTGTGTGAAATAATTGGTTTTGTCAAAGCAATCAAACTGAAAATATCTATTAGGGATGGCTATATGCAACCGATTATTCTGTCGGAATGATGGCAATCGGTTAGAAAATCTGTAATTGGTTTATCGAATATATTAAAATATATTTAAATTTGAATACAGTTTTCTTCCATTTCATTTTTAAAAATGAAACTTCTGCATAATGAAATATATGGTATTAACGAACAGCATATTCAAGCTCAAAAGTCCATTAAACAATACAAATCAAGAGCAGAGCAATCATTAACAAGAATGACTAAGAACCTACAAATACCTTGCCCATTTGTGCAAACTATACTGAAACGCAAAAGAAACGCAACTAGCTGTAATCTACAAATATTTGAACTTTTAACTAATGGTTTTCAAAACTGATTACAGTTAAGTTAAACTCGATTTAAAAGCATCAAAGATTTGATAACAATGTTAAATGATTACCTTTTAACTTTAGAAAGTAACACATGACTGTTAAGGGGGATGTCCGGCCACCTTAGGTGCAATGAAAACAAAAAGTAAACATTTCTTCAAATGACTAAAGTACACTATAACTTGATCAAATTTTATGTCATTAGGATGAAGAAACAATAAATATGCATAACTTAATGCATGTTTTGCGTAAATAAGTTACACTTTGGCAGAAAAATGCTTTTGATATGCACTTTAGAACTGCGCAGCTACACACTTTAATAGAGCCCTAAAAAATCCAAAAAAATATGCAAAGTGTGCCTTAATGTTCTCCCTACAATCATTTGTTGAGAAAATGTCTAAATTTTGCACTGTTAAATGGTAATTTCCAGTTACAAACAAGGCACTGGTGTCTTCAAAATGAGTGTAAAGAACCATGAAAGTAGTTCATGGACAGCAGCACGTGATCTATTTTTAGCACAAAATTTTTCCAGACCACTTCTTTTTATGGAGGCACGTAAAGGTCTGAAATGAAGAAAAACTACAGACAAAGTAATAAAACACCTCTATATTAAGTTTATTTTAAAAGTAAAGGAGAATTACTTATGAATTTTTTTTAAAATTATATAAACACAATAAAAAGAGGAGTTGTGTGTTAATAAATTGTGGTGAATTAAAATAATAATTATTATTGAACATGTGTTTTATAGTGTGTTGTTATAACAAATTCTTCAAGTCTTTGCTTCCAGGCAATGAAAATTGTGCAACATCAAAATTAAAGTTTTTGAATGAATTTTTTTCAACTTTGTAATTAAACAAATGTGGTATTTTAAGTATTGATAACTTCCAGATTTGTAATTATCAACAATGAATCACAAATAAAGTAGACATCGTAAAATTAATGTGAATGAGCTTGTTTTAGTACATATATTTTGTCATACATATATTTTCAAATTCCATTACATCCTAGCTCCATTTCAATAGGTACAAAATCATTAAGAGTAATTATTAGGGGATTTAATGATTTACAAACATTTTTTTAATTTCTTTATTTTGTCCATGGTTTTAAACTTACAATTTCACCAAGTAAAGAAAACAAAATCAACATAATTATACACAAGATTAGTACATGTTTAATCATATACCTAGTAATGCTAGAATTTTAAAACATTGACCATAATTTCAAAAACAAACTCAAGATTGTCATGTACAATACTGCAAAACAAAGTGCTAATGAAACATTCTGCTAATAAAATTAAGACAAATATGCAATCTACTCTCCAGTGATGAACTCTAAATTTCAATATTTATTTTTTAAAGTTGATACTAGCATATTTTTTTTATAATATTGATGGATACCTAATGTTCACAATGCTCACCTTAGTCAAATTGCTTTCTTGAGTCTCTCAGCCCCCTGTCTCTCACATCAAGTAAATATAAAAAACCCTCTCTGTGGCCCTAAACCATGTTTTGAGTGTTACATTATATATGTATTGACAACTGCATTTACTAAACACAAATTTGTCAGATTAGTATTCCCTTTTCAATGTAGTTCACTTGTTATGCTCTAACCATGGACACCCCCCCCCCCCAAAAAAAAATCAAACAATTGAACCTACATTGTTCAATATACATGAGGGTACACTCTATAAAACTAAATGCATATAAATGTGGACATCTTTCCAATGCTGATCTGGTAATTTTTTTTTACTTAATTCTTACAAATAAAATCTCAATATATTGGTCAAGAGAAATTTGAGGGAAAAAAAACATTTTTGACTGTTCTGAAATACACCTATGACCTATTATGATTAAAAAAAAACATTCAGCAAATTGACAGATGCTCATTTGAAAAAAAAAATAGTGTGTTACTCACAGAAAGCTGTGATTTTAGACATTGGTTTTACATACATGTATTTTTAAAGTCTGAAGTCTTTTTTTGTAATAACAGTGAGATAAGAACTACATGATAAATTTTAAAATAATTAATCCTTGAAAACTTATGTATAAAAGATTCACAAGATTAATCCCTATACACATTACACACGTACATTGCACACTGCTTAAAGACATTGTATCATAATATGTGTGAATTTTAATTTGGATGCACAGCCCTTGCAGCAGACAGATAAAAGGAATGAATTCTTTCTGATTTAGAAATCTATTTCAGAGTAATATATTTCAAAGTAAAACACTGAATGGAGTTCTCTTATTTTACATTATATGATTGATATTCTGTTACCAACATTATCTCAAAATCCTATATGTAAAACATCACAGGGAACAGCACAGTATAACGAACAGAATTGATGTTCCAAAGATGGCACTATTGGGCTCTGATTTACAATGTATCCTCACTGGCAAGAGTCTGGGTTTACCACGGATTTCTTTATAGTTTAGAATTTTAATGCAATTTTCACAAGATATTCCTCAAAGACCTACAATAATAAAATGCAGTTTTAGATCATTCAGAACATTCAACAATTAGAAAAAAAAATATTATAACAGTAGCAAATTACAAAACAATACTTATAAATCCTTTCTCTGTTGCCAAGGATGACAAGCCTTACCCTCTCTGCAAACATTGCCCTCTCTTCCAGAGTTCAAAGAAAGAAATTAAGATATTTTTATCAAACTTCATGTGCTGATATACATGTATATTGTGGAGAGCTTTCAGCTTCATGAACATTTTTTGATCTTGACCTCATTTCTGAGTTTAGCTCAGTTTCAAAGAAACCATTCTAAATATTTTTATGTAAGCTTCTGCACTGATACATTATTTGGTGAGAATTTATCAAATTTGTCCATTTTTTTTAACCTTGACCTTCCCAATAATCTTTGACTTTAACATTTATTATGTATAAAACCAATTTTAAAGAAATTATTCAAGATATTTTCATCAAACTTCATACACTGATACAAATTTTCATGTTGCATTCCTAATGAACCCTGGGTGGAACATTCATGTCCTATGGACATATCTCTATTTTTTAAAACATATTTCTGGTTGCATGGTCTAATTTGCTTATCCATTACTAAGAAACCTGAACTAATATCAGGCACATAACAAATCTCTTCACTGGCCTACTTGACTTACTTACATAAATTAGCAAGAATATAAATGATACAAATCAAAGCAAGTTTAGTATTGCAAATGCAATATGTCAATTAATTTTTGTAATGTACATATCAAATTGTGAACAAGAACAGCTTAATATTAAATTATGAGAGGGGACCTGCTTTAGAAGCTCGATATGCATTAACCAAAGACGCCTTGAGCTGATCATTGTCATCAAAGCATTTAAATGACATGCCATGCACATCATTATCTAGACAAGCTCCTGGATATCCAAATGACTTACTTCTCTCTTGCTTTTCTTTTGTAATAATGGGAAGACTCATGTTCATATTTGCAGTCCATTTGCACCTATAACTTTTATCCACACCATTATGAATCTTGAGTTTGCTTATTCTTGGCATTGACTCCCCCTGTAAACAAAATTTTACAAGTACCTGTATTAATAAATTCATTGACAAATGGTGTTAAGAATGAAAAATTTTAGTGTTTATAAGCAAGAAACTTGAAATTAAAAAAGAGGAACTGCACATAGATACAAATGCATGGGCTATTAACAAACTTACTTGATTCTTTTGTGCAAAACTAAGGTCTGTTTTAAATTGCATCTCAGAAAATCTATGGGAAACTAGTTAGGGATATGACACCTACAATATGTAAAGTATTTAATTCATAATAATTTAATCAACAATGAATACACAATACATGAAGCTTTCCATTAATTCCTGTTACTTTCTATACACACATCTTGATTATCTTCCTTAAATCATGCACTAGTTTATGGTACAAATAATGTAATACACGTAATACAAAAATTTCCATGGAGAATTTTAATTTTCAAAAAAATGTATAATACTGCCTACTGTTTACATATTACACTGTGCTGCCTAGTTATAAAAATAATGGATTCATAAAATGTGATTTTCACATAGTAATTAATCCACACATTAAGAAATGTGTGTCCCACTTCCTCTCTAAAGTCACCAAGATAATAAAATTAAAAATAAATTACATTTACTCAGTAGTCCCTAGAGAGACAATATATATACCTACTCTACTGTGGTTGCATGATTCTCCATCAAACTCAAAATATTAAATACTAAGAAATAATGGGTTCAAGCAAATTTAGTACATGAAATATTATCCAAAATTTTCACAAGTTTTTTTTTTAGCGGTATCTTCAAGCAGGGCCATTTCAAGACAATTAAGAAGAGATATGTGCGACCGGTCGGCAGGGGATGCTCACTCCTCCATGGCACCTGATCCCACCTCTGATGTTTTAGAGGTCTGCGTTTGCTCTGCTCCTGATTTGTAATGTTTGATGGACTTTTGAGCTTGAATACTGTTCATTATTTCCATATATTTGATGTGTAATTTGTGAATGCTAAACCCTGGCCTGGCCTACTTATTATAAGTATTGATGCATTGGCAATTTTAGTGTAAATATTTTTTTTTCCAGTTGAATAGCAATATAAGTTGACACAGTTGATGCAGAAAAAAGACAAGAAAAGTGTATCATAAATTATTGAAGAAGAAAATGGTAGCAAACA